CCTCCCCCCGCCCAAATTAAACACACAGATCACAACCTATATTCAGGACACAATCTTCATTCTGAAGCCAGTAAGGTAAACTACAGCTGTGAAACAGACTGATACTGTGAGTGAATGTAATGTGTGTGTGTGAGGTGGTGCTGGTAATATTTTATCGGCCTCATTCAGATCAACGAAGCATCAGAAAATATTATTTATTATTAAAATATAAAAAACACATTTCTCCAGTTAATAAAAGATCCTCAATCATATCTCTTTATATATAAAGTCACCAGCCTTCACTAACTTTGTGATATTTTTGGATATTTTATTATTTACTCTAGAAGTGATCGTTTGTGTGCGGTCCTACCTGAGACGCTGTCAGTCTTTAGTTTTGACAGCCAGTTTGAAAAGCTGCCACAGGAAGTCAGTGGTGCTGTGAGGGAGAAAAACAGAGCTTTCAATTTCCAGTTTCTCAGCGAGTACGTGGAGGTGACATCTCCACCCACTGGGGGGGGGGCACGTGGATCACAAACACTCTTTGTCTCCTCTCGGTGTCACGGCAACACATCAGCGTATGACATCATCTCTCAACACGTTCAATGAGAGCATTAGAGATGGCATCACCGCTGACACAGTCACATGACCCTCACAGTGAGTGAGTCACTAATACTGTATCCACTGTACGCACAGGACTCGGCACGGCTCCGGTACGGGGGGCAAAACATCTGCCAACCCACACAGGAAACACCAAAATGTCTGCTGGTTACAGCTTCTGCTTTTTATCATTTCATAGCACTTTAACTGGACTTATTGGGACGAATGTGAGACAGAAGCCGCTGTGCAGTTCTTTGTATAGAACATCAGGACAGGAAGAGCACAACAGCCGGAGCTAAAAACTTCAAAAAATACATCCGTAATGGAAATAACTGTTTGTTACAACCCCATGTGAACTCTGTGTTAATGTCTGCAGCAAACCACAACTTCTCTCGTAAAAGAACTTCTCTTCAAATAAATAATAATGATAAAATATGGAAGCCCATTTCTGCCAATGTGAGGAAAAGTCATTATAATGAGAAACTCTGTATTTTTACAGAATCTATTTTTCCGTCCCATTGGTGGGAAACAGCAGACATTCAGTGTCATTAAGTGAATGTGACGTAGCAGCTGTTCCTGGAAGCTGCAGGTGGAGAAACCAGAGGAAACCTGCGTGTCGTTATGCAACAACAACTTCCTCTCCGCGCTGACATCGTTGACTTTCGATATCTCAGCACTCGCATTGCTCAGCGAAGCGTTAGACCCAGAGCGAGTCTTCATGTGAAGTAACGAAGGGACGGACTGCGGGGAATTCCAGCAGTGGATTCAGTCCAACAACCAACACGGACGTCATTCATGCACACTGCGCGGCGCCCGGGGCCCGACGGACATTTACACTCAGTGAGCGTCTCCCCTCGAGCTGCAGCTGCCTCTCTCACTGCACTGTGCCGTGTCACACTACAACTGCACACTTAACGCAAACATTATTAAAATCACAATAAGGCAACGGGCACATGCAACACAACAGATGTCACACCATCGAGTCCACATGAGACAGGAATCAGAGTCCTGTTTGCAGGCCGTTAGGGAGGGACCGGTCTCAGTAGCAGCTGCAGCTCCAAACGTAGCGGTGGAGCTGCTCTATAGCAACGACACTGATTCAGATCCGCAGTTCAGAATATAAACCAGGGCTGCACGAGACGGGAAAAACATTATTCTGAGAGATAATATGATTCATGATTAATGCATCCAATATTCACTGAAAAGCTTTTAAGACCGTGATGATGTGAAGTCTTTGGGGTCTGTATTGAAGGTCTGGAGACCAGCTCTGCCTCCCTACAGTCCCGCACTATAAAGCTGTCACACTTTTTATCAGCGGCAGCGGTTTGCTCGTGCACTTCATATATAATACGATAGAAACACTGTGTCGTCGTGTGTTCGCTCGCTCTGACCGCACTCAGACTGTCTGGAGGTCCGCGGGTGCAGAAATGCTAAAATCATGTTGTGCTCTATTTGAAGTCTCCTCGGTGAACTGGACCAGTGGGACAGCTCGTCTGCGGCTGATCTCTAAACTCAGACGGAGCTCCTGGAGAGCAGGAAGTGTCCGACAGCAGC